AAAATCTTCTTTAGAATTGTGAAAAGTATGAGCCTTTCTTTTCTCATTTTATTGATTAGAGATTTATAAAAGATTATTTGGAATGTCTTTATCAGGTATCACTACAAAAGCTATGACCTGCAACAGTATATAAAAGGAGAAAAATAGAAGGATATCATGGAAGAGAAAAGTGTGGCTAATATTGTAAGGATTTCATGCAGCTGAGGTGTCAATTTGAGGAACAGTGAATTACTCCTGAGATTAATTTAGAAGACTTCGCTTCTTCTGTGTTTGCATGCCTAGTTTCTTGTGGGTGCAGAATTGCTTATGCATAGAGAGACGAGCAGAATTTTGAAATTATCAATTTATCTCTGAAGGTACAAAACGTTTTTTAAAAGGGCACACCTAATATAATGCTGACTTAAAATACCAATCTGAGTTGCTACTTCTTTATCCTAAAAACTGTTGTTTTGAAAATGTTCCTTTTAAGGTTATTTTGGTATATTTGCAAATGTCTCTTGTTGAATATTGAAAATGAAGAGTTGCAGAGAGAGCAGTGTAGATGGTGAGATCTAGGTTCAAGTCAAGTTCTAACTGTGTAGTCTGAGTTTTAGTAGCTTTACCTCTTAGGGTCTTAGTTTGTCAATGAAATTAAGGAGCTTAGTCTAAATTTTCTCTTTGGTTCTATGATCCTATGATTTATAAGAGAAAAGAGATATTTTGCAATATATGAAAAAACCTATAGTACACTTGAGTTATCACAAAACATCAACTCTTGCAATTTATTTTTTTAAGGTTTATTTATTTATGCATACAAGAGGTGGGGTTTAGGCCAGAGGTGAGGGGAAGGGGGTATGTGTGAGAGGATTCACTGGAGACAGAGTGGGGAACAGAACAGGCAGACTGACTGAAATACACTGTTGAGGGAAGCAGCGGGTGAAGCAGGAGAGGTCTGCTATGCCATGTGGGTTAGCTCCCTGGCTGGGTATTGAACTCGTTCTACAGTGGCTGCCAATAGCTTCATAGTACTGAGACCTAACCCCTGTGCTACCAAGGAGACCCAACTCTTGCAATTTAATAATCATGATTTTTTTTATGGAAAAAGTAATAGATTTAAGTGACAAGATAAGTTATGAGTAAGTAGGACTATTACTACAATTTTTCTTAGTTTCTGATCTTGCACTCAACAGAATCTAGTTATATGCACTTTGCCCTAAATGATAAAAGAGAATCGACTGGCTCTCTTGACTTCCTATTTCTCTCCTAGTAGTTTCTGATTATTTTCTCTATCAAAATTCACCATCATCTAAGCTTTGAACTGAGCCCATGAAATGGCTGAGGTATAGGATTTAGAACAGATGGTGTCCACCAATAGTGGTTACCAATCTATTCTGTGTTCAAACAAGGACAGATCTTCATGGTGTAGTATCAGTTGGATATTTGGAGTTATGTTAGCTCTGGTCTCTTTCAGTAACCCTCATATCTAGCTGAGATGAGCTTTGGCTTTATTTATTAACTCATTTTACAGAACACTGCACACAGACCTTCAGTGTTTGCTTAGGTTGCCAAGTGCAATGTTGTGTGGCTTCATGAGTATTACATGCAGTGAAAATGCTTGTCTACAGAGTTTTAAAAGGTATATTTCTCACTGATGTGCATATTCAGTGTACCTAATACTCTGAGCTTTATTTTATTGAGGCAAATGTATGTATCATACAAGCATTAGATTAGTTTTAAAATATATAATTATTTACTAATATATCATGGCCATTTTACTAAATATTGAGTAATCAGCCTGGGAAAATTTTGATGCTTTTTAAGTTATATTCAAGTGTACTCAAGGTAAGGTGGGGGTGGAGGTGTAGGTGTTTGTTTTTTTTTTTTATATATATATTTTTTTTTTTTTTTATAGAGGCATGTTTTCTTTCTTTCTTTCTTTATTTGTTTGTTTTTGTTTATACATGCACTGGGTACAGTCAGAAGCGCGGGAGGGTGAGAGAATTCACCAGAGCCAGAGCGGGGAGCAGAGCAGGCAGAAGGACCGAAGTACACTGCTGAGGGGAGCAGCGGGCGGCAGGAGAGGTCTGCGCGCCATGTGGGACCCTCCTCCGGTGGCCGGGGAGCAGCCGGGGATCGAACCGGCGCCACAGAGGCTGCGGGCAGCTTCGCAACCCAGCGCTCAACCGCTGCGCCACCGGGGAGGCCCAGGTGTAGGTGTTTAATACTGAAATGCAGTTTAATTGAAATGCAAGGCATTTTAAGAAATGTAGGACTGCCCAGTGTACATTGCTGATGGGACTGTAAAATGATGGAACTGCTATAAAAAAAAAATGCATTGGTGAGTCCTCAGAAAATTAAACACAATAGTCGAACAATTCTACTCCTGGGTATATGAATTGAAAGCTCAAAATTAATTGAATTAATTGAAAGCTCAAAATTAATTGAATGAATTGAAAGCTCAAATGAATTGAAAGCAGGGACTCAGCTATGTACTTATATGCCCATGTTCATTGCAGAGTTATTCACAGTAGCCAAAAGGTGGAAATAATTCAAATGTCCATCAACAAAAGGATAAATAAATGTAGTATATACATGCAGTGGAATATTACTTAGCCTTAAAGAGGAATGAAATTCTGCTACGTCCTCTAATGTGGATGAACCTTGAAAATATGCTGAGTGAAGTAAGCCAGACACAGAAGGAAAAATATGCCATACCACTTACCTGAGATACTTAGAGTAGGCATATTTACAGAGACAGAAAATAGAAGTAAGCAAGGGCTGGATGAATTCAAATGGGGAGTTATTGTTTCATGGACCCAGAATTTGTGTTTGGGAGGAAGAAAAGTTCTGGAGTCTGCCATAATAAGACAATTCTACAAAGGAAAAAAAAAATGTAGGGTTAAGAAGTCTTTACACCCATTTTCAAATTTTGTCTTTTCGTCCTATTTTTTTTTTCTTTTTTTTTAACCATTGCTTAATTCCCTACAGAAAACGTCTTAGTGGGCTCGGTGTACTTGAAATGTTGCTGGTGGAAGCGGTTAGAACAGAATCTACTGGTTTTGCCATAAGTAGCCTTGCTTCTTATATTTGTTAGGCATTTTGAGGATGGGTGGAGAGGGAGAGATAGTTTTAAGTGAGAAAACAATGAGTGTTAGACCTCCTGTTCCAACAAGGAAAGCATGATTTTGTGGCAAACCCAAAGGCTAGGAATCAAGGGTGATGAAATCCAGACCTTCCAGTCCTCACTCTGTTCTTGATTTCTGGTTGTGGGAATCTGTTCTGAATCCAACTGCAAGTGGAAAACCCATTTTTGGCTGAGCAGTCAGGAAGGCTCTGCTGCCAATCCCCCAAATGTGCTGCCGAAACGTTGGCCCTGTGAGGATGGAGCTGGGGCTGTCTTCCCAAGATCTGTGCAGCTGTCAAGGTGGCTGTTCATGGGGCTGTGACTGGCCCGTGCACTGCATTTTGTCTGTGACCTTGAGACCTGCCAGCTTGGAGCAGCTGCTATGGTCCTCACTGCTGCTGCGGCTGTTGTATCGCCAGGGGGTTAAAGGGAGGGAACTTTTCAGCTTCTGGCTTTCTCAGGGTCTGGCAAATTCCAGTGATGGTGTCTGGCTCTCCCAAAGTACACACACTGGGAATGGGGGCAGTACAGGTTTGTGAGTGTGGGTGGCTGCTTGTTCCACCCCTGGCTCAAGTCCCAGTCCCTGGGTAGTAGGTGACAGGCTCTGCTTTGGGACCTGATTGGAAGCTCAGCGGAGAGATGCTCAGTGACAGCTGATGATCTTGGGAGATAGAAACCAATGGTGTACCTTTTGTCTCAAAGGTGTGAGTCTACTTTCTGGAGAGAAGGGATTTCTTTGGGAAATAAAGGTCATCATAAATGTCCAGAGCAAGAGAGAGAAATCTTTTCAGCTGTTCAGAATGGCAAGTGTATTTTGACCCCTCCCTTCCCCCACATTGTCCTCCTCCTGTCCTTTTCCTTGTAAGTGGCTTTATTATTTTTTTTAATCCGCCTTTGTCATTGGACATTTATTGACAGAAATCAAATTGCTGTGTTTCTGGGCAAACCGCCTGCTGCAAAGAGGTGTGGTTCCCAGGAATGAGACACGCAGCCCAACAGCTGAGCCTACACTGTCCTCACATAACCTCCCTGCCTTAAATATCGCCAATATTTAGCCTTGCCTTATAAAGTAAAAATGCACAATACCTTCCAGAGTTTCAGCAAGCCCAAATGCCCCCCTCGGCTCAGTTATATCTCCTGTACGTTGGAGGCAGGGACGCGCACCCCTCCCCCGCGCAAACCTGCCCTCGGAACAACCAAGAGGTTACTAATCAGGGAGACACCGCCATCGATCCGATGGTGGAGACCTGGGGGATTTGTGTGCATTGTTTTTGCTGAAGCCTCCTGTGATTTCGGCGCGACCAGATCCTCTACAGCGAACTCCATGTCGCAGCTTGTGGCTGCCTGTGTCCTGTGGTGAGAGCTGAGCCGCACAGGAGATCCTTTGTCTAGGAAGGCTAGGCAGAGAAGATCACTTTGGAGTTGCTAAGCTCTGCATTGCCATTGGCTGCACTCTTTGTGGGGCTGTTTTTGCAAAAGGCATGCCCAGCACGTCTACAGTGCTGGCAGGCCAGGGCTGCCTTTAAACACCATGATAATAATACCAAAAAGCAGTTTGCAGAACTGTTCCACTGTAGAGGCTTCCTCTGCAGAAGCAAGCAAGATGGCTACCTCGTGGGTTTCGCTGTGAAGAATGCAGAGGCTAATTAAGACAGACTTTAAGGGGAAAAAAGGGTATTTCCCTACTTCATCTCTTTGCAAGACTTTTTTTTTTCAGTGACTTTTAAAGTATACATTTTACATAAGCTCTTCAGGTTCTGCCTGGCAAACATGTTGATAATTTTAAATGGCATAAGTAGTTTTACAGAGAAATAACCAAAAAATTGGGGGGGGGGTAAGAGCTATTTTTTTTTTCTTAAACGAAGGCTCATTTTGCAATTTGATTTTTTTTTTTTAGGTTATAAAAGAAAACAAGAGGCCCCAGAGGGAAAAGAAGCCCAAAGTTTTAAAGGTAATCAGCTATTGATTAAATAATATTTAATTTTTTCCATTTCATATAGTATTTTTCTGTCACTTAGAGGTAAATTTGGAGTACAGTGGATGTGGGTTCTCCCGGATTTTTAGTAGATAAATGAATTTTCACTCAACTAAAGTGTTTTCTCTCTCTTTTTTTTTCCGATGTGCTGCATAATATTCATATTAGCATCCTTTATTTTCAACTCCACACAAGTCTGCAGAAGGAAAAGTTTATATGCAAAGTGTTGTGAATAAAATTTGTTTTTCTTTGTAGCTCCCTTTGTAGCATCTGCATTTATGGTGTTGCACCAGTGTGTAAACTTAAGCTCTTAAGGAGAAAGGCACTATTTGAAGTTGACAGCTATGATCCATTGTGATTTTAATAGACCTTCCATTAGATACTATTTTCAAATGTGTGATTTTTCTTTCCAAAGAAATAGGTCCTTAGAGGTTTAACTCCACTTAAAATGTTTAAACCATTGAGATTTCCAGACAAATTATAATTGTTTAATCTCAAATTTGCATTATATCATCTTTAATTTTGACATTTCTAGAATTGTAGGAATATGCCTGTTTCCTTTATTTTTTAATAGTTTGCTGAATGAGTATTTAGTAGTCCCCAATTTGGTTATAAATAAACAATCTGTGTAATGAGCTTTGTACAGTATTTAGAAGGGTTAATTTAAAAGCATATGGCATTACTAAAAGTTCAAGGCTAGCTTTAGTCCAGCAAATAGGTGTTTATGTGTTAAAGGTTTCTAGTTATAGATTGCTATTACAAATATAAGTAAGCTAAACAGGTAATGTTTTAAATTCAAGAATACATATCAAGCAATAAATATATTGGTCTTTACAATTCTATTGTTTGTATTTAAAGTATTTTAATCTAATCATAGTTTTTCTTTTGCAAATAAAGTTTTAGCACTCAAAGAGGAACAACATGTTGAACTATGAATGTGGCAAATTTTAAATTTTATTTGTTTCTCCAGTTGTCAAGCTAAAAAATATTACTGACATGGAGATCCAAACTTTGCATTTTTTTCTAATTTGTCTAACCACCCCAAGTTTCTGTTTCCTGTGTGTACCCAACATTGCCATGTACATTTTTCACCACCCAACAAGTATTTATTTAATATTTACAACATGGTCATCAGTATGCAAGACACTGTGAAATGAATGAAATTGCTTGGCACAAATTCTCACTGGGCCTGGACAAATAGAATACTGGTTATTTTCAAGGTAAATTAAACCCTCTTCTGTTTTTCTTCTGCACACTGATCCACCCACGCCCTTTACTCCCCTCCCCTCCCCCAATGATAGTATTATCATTAAAAACCCTGTTCATATTTTCTAATCTCCCTTTACATGATTTATATTTTCTGTGTTACAAGTATGCATCTCAAGATATTTTGTCTTAAAATCTTCAAGTGAGAAATAATTTTAGTCCTGCTGATAAATGACTCAAATTTGTAGATGTGAGGTCATCCCCTCCATCCTTTCACATAGAAGAAAGGGACAGACTATTTGCACAAACTAATACAGATTAAGCTTGGGAGCTAAATCATCCACTTTTGCTAGGAAGTAGAATTGAGGTTTGGGGAATACTGTGTAATTCTGTGTTTATTTTGTTAGTCTGAGGGTTTCCGATCACCTGAAATAAATTTCAGAAGTAAATATGTGGTGTGGTGCTTTTTTGAATCATGGTAGTAGATGGATTTGTTTTTTAAGTAGGGGTGTGTGTGTGTGTGTGTGTGTGTGTGCGCGCGCGCACGTGTGTGTGCATGCACACACACTCTTAAATTTCATGTGCCACAGCAAGCAGAACAAAATCATTGCTCATTTCACTCTTATCAGATTGTTGTGCAAGAATAGGGAAATGCTCTAAAAGGGAAAAAAAATTTTCTGATGTTGGCATTTTAAAATGTTTTCTTTAATTTTTCTATTGGGTACAGTGTTTTTTGTTCTTATCCAAAGCAAGCTTTGTTTCTCTGTTCCACAGTCATTAGTGTTAAAGTACTTTCAGATTTTAGCTTGACATGTATAAAATACAGCAAGAGCAAATGTTGAACATTATATAACCCTAAAGGAGACATTAAGGAAGCTAAATCCATACCTTGGGAGAGAAGGTGGAAAGAATACAACTTTCAGTTTAAGGTTTTCTGGTGGAGAACTTCACACTTCAGCTGGTGCTACAGGGATCAGCAATGGGGGTCCCTAGGTTACAACTTGATCTCCTTTCTTAATTCTCCATCTTTGCTTTTGACTTTGTGCCAGAGATGTGGTTAACTTCCTTTCATCTCTGGCTTCTTAGGTTTTCTGATTTCTTGGGTCCTTGCTCTTTGTCAGGGTAGATGCTCAGGACTCGATTGATTTTCATCATCATGAGAGGATGTAGTTGGATAGATAAGAAGGTTATTTAAGGAAAATTGGAAGTAGAATGAAAACTTATCCCATTCTACTCTGTACCTGCTAACTAAATACTAAATTCCCTGTGGGACTGAAATTTCCTGGTGTGTCTCACACCTCTCGTCTTTAAACAATCTATTACCAATTTTGAGACCAATATTCATTCTCTTTGAATTCAAAACCTTAAATTATAAATCGATATCTCAAGTCTCTAATTACAGAAAACATTTTCTGGCTAAAATCACATTTTCTGTCCAAAGCACTTTCATGACCAGAATGGGTGCTAAGTGAAGAGGGTTGGGGGTGGCTCACCGCAAACTCCCACCACTGGTGCTAAAGACCAGGTCTCTGCACAGACTTGTGATGACCAGTAGCTATTTCGTATGGAGATAGTGGCTTATTCACCTTGCAATAATTGTTTCTTTGATTCTTGGGTAAGTAATGGTCCCGAAAAAACTTCAGACCCTTTGTCATGAATTTTGACTTGTGAGTGACATGGTTTGGAATTCCTCTTGGTAGAAACATTTACACAAATAATCTCTACTTTTTTGTGTTTAGGATGTAAGAATAGATTCCCTTAGATAGTTAATTTTAAAATTTTTTTTTTAAAGATTTATTTATTTATTTATACAAGTACTGGGTACAGTCAGAAGCGCGGGAGGGTGAGAGAATTCACCAGAGCCAGAGCAGGGAGCAGAGCAGGCAGAATGACCGAAGTACACTGCTGAGGGGAGCAGCGGGCGGCAGGGAGAGGTCTAGCGCGCCATGTGGGACCCTCCTCTGGTGGCCGGGGAGCATCCGGGGATCGAACCGGCACTGCAAAGGCTGCGGGCAGCTTCGCAACCCAGCGCTCAACCGCTGCACCACCGGGGAGGCCCGATAGTTAATTTTAGAGGAATATCATTTTGGTTAGGTTGTCAGTTATTGTCCTCAGAGAAAATCATGTTAGAGGTATTGAGGGAAATTTTAGTGAAGATGTTATTTTAACATGAATTTTTTTTTAATAGAGGCATGTTTATTTATTTATTTGTTTGTTTGTTTGTTTTGTTTATACATGCACTGGGTACAGCCAGAATCGCGGGAGGGTGAGAGAATCCACCAGAGCCAGAGCGGGGAGCAGAGCAGGCAGAAGGACCGAAGTACACTGCTGAGGGGAGCAGCGGGCGGCAGGAGAGGTCTGCGCGCCATGTGGGACCCTCCTGCGGTGGCCGGGGAGCAGCCAGGGATTGAACCGGTGCCGCAGAGGCCACGGGCGGCTTCGCAGCCCAGCGCTCAACTGCTGCGCCACCGGGGAGGCCAGAAGAGGTTATTTTAAAGGGTGGGCAGAGTTAAGGAAAAAACTAGGGATGGTGAGGGTTATTATCTCTTTTGGGCCTAGAGGAACAAGGAACTGGGAACAGAAACCCAAGTAGAATAGTTGTAGTTGAAAAGGGAACAGGGACTTTGATTGTATCTTTTAGTAATGGGATGTTTTGTAAGAAGGAAGTCAATAGTCCTCTAAATAAATGCCCTGCTTTCCAGTCTCCTGCTGCTTTCATTGGTTGATCCTAATCAGAAGGAAAAGGTGCCCACAGATGAACTCCATCCTGGTCAGCCTCCTGGGGCATGTAAGAGGAGGTAGAAAATGAAATTGTGAACCTGAAGAGGCAAGCAGAACATAATTCAACATCATTAATGAACACAGGGGCAGTGTGGTAGGCTCAAAAATAGTACCAGATCCATCACTATGTAAGACAGAGGTAACAGGTGAGTCTTAGTGAAGTGTATATAAAAACTCTATATATTAATTTCACAACTTATCTATAAATCTAAAATCATCTCAAATGATCCCCTGAAAGGAGACCATATTTATACATTCTGCTATTAGATAGTCTGTCTTTACTGGTAAAGGACACATTCAAATAATTTGGTTATAAAATATCATCAGAGTAGCATTTGAAAGTGCTGGGCGAGCAAATATAGAGAAATGTCACTGGATATTAAACCAGAAAACTGTCTACAGATGATTTAGGAAAAAGTAAAGGTTTTTAAAAGTAAAGTTTTTTACTTTTTCCTGCTGGTTTCTGATCTGGCAGCCCTGTTCTTCATTGTTTCCTTCCTTCCTTGATGCTGATAACGGAGAACAAGTGGTGGTAAGGGGCTGGGGCTGATGGTGACAGTGACAGGGATGGGGCCAGCAGAGAAGACACTGTAGCTATATTTACATACTTTTTGAAGAATTTTTTTAAAAGATTTATTTATTTATGCCTACAAGAGCTAGGGTACAGGCCAGAGGTGTGTGGGGTAAGAGGATTCATCGGGGACAGAGTGGGGAACAGAACAGACAGAATGACTGAAATACACTGCTGAAGGAAGCAGTGGGTGAGACAGGAGAGGTCTGCTATGCCATGTGGGTAGCTCCCTGGCCAGGGATTGAACTCATGCTGCAGAGTCTACAGACAGCTTCACAGGTTGAGTCTTAACCCCTTGTGCCACCGGGGAGAGGCCCTCTCTTTGAAGGATATTTAAAAAAGAATCTAATCAGAAAAGAATCATTCATACATGGTCTTGATCATTCATAGATAGCATGACAGTGACATTCAAAATATT